TATGTTTTTCTATAGAGCCTTTTTATGTTCTAATCAGTATATATTCTTATCAATATTACTATTTAGAGGATTTTCCTCTTAAAATAAGAAACTCTTCTTGGCGCCTATTTTAGTATAAAATATACTTAAAGTAAGTGGGATATCCTCAAAACAAGAATACAATTTTTTCGGTGTATGGAAGGTTAATTATTATTTTTAAAAATCAATTTTTCTCAAACACCTCTTTCTTCGCGAGATTATGTTCTTTCGAAATTGCAACTTCGCACATATATCCAAGCGCTTACTAAAAAAATCCGTATTCGTTTCCACGTAATGTTCGAAAACATTTGCTCGTGTCTCTTTGCGTTCTAGCTTTAACATTGCGGAATGAAAAATCGTCGGAACTTTCTCGCGCGCTGGAGGGAAATGTAATAATAATCGGCGCGTGCTTAATAATAACGCGCAAAGTTTTCTCTAGAAAGCGCGCTTGCTTGTTTGCAGCAAGCGTTTTGCATATACAATACGCGCGTATATGCGCGTCAGGCGTTACCCTGAATTACCTAAGAGCCTGTTTACGCACGTGCCAGGATGTTGTAAGGCGCGCACCCGCGCGCGCCAGTTCATTCAATTATTGCCACTACCATTACGATCGCGCTATTATTAGCCATCGCGACCGAACCATTCATGAATTACTATTATTATTGCCCGTTGCACATGTGTGTCAACGTCAACGTCCGCGATCTGACGATTCGCGAATTGTCTGATTAATTGCTGTGACAAATTGGATCCGTATTACGCTATATTTATGCTATATATATATATTTAGAAAAAAATTATAAACCCACACGCTGTTTGTTGTACTTCTTTTTTAAAAACTATATTTCGTGTGTGTGTGTGTGTTTTAGGATTTTACAGTCACAACATTGTCACACAAAAACTGCAATTTATTTTTAAAATACAGAGAGGATTACCCTTTTTTTTTTTTTTTTTGAAGAAATAAGACACACCTGCTCTTCGTGCTCCATTAATCGAAGGGATTTAAATATGACGTGAGTTTGGCCCACTCGGTCTTAAGTGCGCGACAGCGTTTAAAAAAACCAAGAGAGTTGAAAGATATTATATATATAAAGACTGCTACGAAAAGCTTACACGTTCGTAATTTACACCGTCGCGACAGCTGCCGCGAAGAAGAGAAGAGAGACACGAGTCCTCGCGCGATTATATCTTTTCCTACGTGAGCCACCGCGGAAGGGTGAGCAAGCGGCGGTCAGGATCGACCGGTCAGGATCACGTTCGGCAGGCCGACGCTTTTTCTTTTCGACAAATCACTTCAGGAAGCGACACGCCCCTTCACGGCTGCCGCGACGTGTTACCACACGCGCCGTTTCTATTTACTTTAACGTTTCCTTCTGCTTTTTCCTTCCATCCCTACGTCGGCGAAATGAGAATCCGACGTGCACGGCGCGAGTACGAAAATAGTCCCGATCCGTTTCACCGCGCGCGCTCACGAAACGCGGATAAATCACGCCTTTTCAACCCCTTTCTCCCGACGGGCGCTTTTAGCCCGCGACCGGCGGGGGGGGGATGGATGGTGACTGTGTAGGTGCATTCTCGATGCACGAACATATTTTAATGGCATTCTAGGAAGATTTATGAGACTCTGAAAATTCAATTGCTCGAAAGGCAATTTTTTATTCTCTCTTGAGATAAATATTTAAATCGAGATTTAATAACAATAAAACGATTGTTCCGAGTGTTTTGAATGATGTTACACCGAAAAAATTGTATTCTTGTTTTGAGGATATCCCACTTACTTTAAGTATATTTTATACTAAAATAGGCGCCAAGAAGAGTTTCTTATTTTAAGAGGAAAATCCTCTAAATATAGCAATATTGATAAGAATACATACTGATTAGAATATAAAAAGCCTCTATAGAAAAACATATATATCTCACTATCAAAAAAGACTATATTCTTAAATAAAGATTATATTCTTAAATAAAACAATATATTCTTAATTTCAGAAGAATTATCATCTAAAATCTTTAAGAAGATTTTTTAAGTATGAAATCTTCTACTTACGAGAATATAATTTTTTTGGTGTAATAACATTCGAAATGTATTCTTTTCTTTTTCCTCTTTATCATTAAAACATTTATATAATTTTGCAATTTTTTATTTTGACATTTTGTTCGCGTTTGAATCGGCGCCATATTTTATAAATATAATTAATTAGTGTATCTTTCGAGTATATTCACCGAAAAAATTGTATTCTTGTTTTGAAGAGATATCCCACTTACTTTAAGTATATTTTATACTAAAATAGGCGCCAGGAAGAGTTTCTTATTTTAAGAGGAAAATCCTCTAAATAGTAATATTGATAAGAATATATACTGATTAGAATATAAAAATCTCTCTATAGAAAAACATATATATATCTCACTATATATTCTTAAATAAAGAACATATTCTTAATTTCAGAAGAATATCATCTAAAATCTTTAAGAAGATTTTTTAAATATAAAATCTTCTACTTACGAGAATATAATTTTTTTCGGTGTAAGTTTTACGAGTTAGTTATTTTATTAGTGAATATATATATATATAAACATTTGTTTTCACAATATTTTTAGCGTATATATGTAAATAAAGATTAATTCAGTTTCTTTTTGATGGAAAAATAACCGTGAGAGATGATGTTTCCAGAGAAAAATCAATGCTAGGAAAGTATTAGAGAAGAATATTGTGTTATAAGAAACACACATTGTGCGTACCGTGTGAAAAATCATGCGGGTGCCGCGTAACACAATATCGAGATACACGCGCACAAGTTCGGCGAACAATTTACCTGCATCCGCGCGCTCGAATTACACCTGTGGCCAAAGTAATGTTAATTTATGTTTCTAATATAGAATTTTGGCAAAATCCAAGAAATATTTTTACGCAGAATTTTTTTTATAATTATTACTTCAGATATCGGTAAATTAATAAAAATTCGTTAAACCCCATATGTCAGTTGAATAACAAAGTTTGTTAATATTCCCATAGTTGTGATACGGAACAACATTTTACGTATCACATCAAACGTATATCAATTGTGCAAAAGTACACAAATATCAAGCTAACTAAATAGAAATGTAAGATTTTTTATCTCTTAAAAAAAAATATGAGATTTCTCAAGCGATCAATTCCGTTCGAACGTTTCTATCACTTCTCACGCCAGTGTGCGCAGATGGGTGCGTATTATAATACGAAATACAGAGGTGTTATTGATGACTGTCAATGTGATGAAAGATTATTCGTGCGAAACATAAAAGAAATAAAAAAGAAGATATACATCAGAAGTATATAACGGCGAATACACGTGCGGGTTAACGTAAGAGTGTTGCGACTCTAGCTGTGTTTTTCCGTGTAACATTATATAATATCACAAATAAATTTTTGTCAAATGAATAAGAAATACTCGTTAACAAATTAATATGCAATGGATAAGGCTATACGAGCAATTATACTGGTTGTTGGTGTATTTTTTTATAATAATTCCTGATCCAAATTAAAGATCGAAACGTTTGATTAATTAAAGAATAAAGGAATTATTATAAAAAAAATACACCAGTATAATTGCTCGTATAGCCTTATCCATTGCGTATAAATTTTTGTCTTTCGAAGTAATTGCGATCGTAAGCTAATGACGCGTAAAATGTATCAGCTTTTTTTACTGCGCAATCAATTATAAGACACCCCGTTTTTGTGTTCAATCGCGCAAAAGTATATAACATATTTGAATAATGATATTTTAAAGAACAATAATACACAGAGACATGTAAAGAGAAATTCCGACCGTAGTTGCGCTTGCAACATCTACGGTGAACGTCTACGCGAAATTTCTCGAGTACGCGGAATCGATTGCTTTTACGAACCTTCGGCAAGGGCGGACCTCTCATTGGAGCCCGCAGGGTGGAAGATAAGGGGTGGAACCAATTAGTCTCTCCCTCGGTAGGAAAGTGATTTCGGCACAATCGACTTCCCCGAAGACGCGCACACTTTTATCGAGCTGTCGGTACTTGACACATTTCCAGCGACGCCTTGAATTTCTTCGCCATTTCCGGGGGCTCGCTCAATCGTCGTCCTCTTCACTCGTCTCCGTTCGCGAGATCCATTCGGCACGATCGCGGTGGTTAAAGTTGCGAACAAAGTCAGCCGTGATGTTTCATTTTATTTGACCATTTTTGGTCACAATTCTTTCAAGATGTTTTTTAATGATTTTTTTTTATAATTATTATAATATTCTATGTTTTATATATATTATATTATATTATTATATTACATATATATTTCAACACATATTACGGTCTTTGTTATTACACGAATATTAAAACATATTTTATTAGTTATTATAACACATTTTACGTTTGTTTGAAGATTTTTTTGCACGAAATTTTTACCGTATATCTTTTCGTCACGTATTCGCCGCACAAAAAATTATCTCACACATATTATTTAGTAACATTGTAATGAAATAACGCAATTAATTTGTTGCACCAAAATATATATCGTGTATATATATATATATATATAGATTTTCTAAATGTTTTTATATAAGTTACTTTCTGTTTTTACGTTATTAAAAAAATCAAAACAATTGCGCGTAAATACGTCATGTGTTTTTATTGCTATTGTCGTGTGATTTATGAAATATTCTTATCGATTGTTATGTATAGAAATAGATCTCTCGACCGCGCGTTACTTTCAGAGAAAGATCCAGACACGTGTTTTTATCGGAACTTGATAAGCTAATAGCGTGTAACTTAATACCGATAAAGAAATTGCGTATTGCAGAACATTCTATATTCGACGCGGTCGAATGAAACTATATAATATGCGTTAAGTCGGACGAAATACAGTTGGGGAAGTTGCTTCTTCGAACAACATATCTTAAACTCCGATTACACACCGAGGTTCGCTCCGGTTCGCAACGAAAAAACACCAGTCATTTTTGTCAGAAACACACAAAATTGCACGGATTCTTTTGTCCAAAATTTTATGCAGTCAGGTAGTTTAAAACTAACTAACGGAAGTTTATCAGTTTTCTGTCTTCCGAGATTAAATCGAGCTTTCGTCGCACACAAATCACAATAGGTTCACTAAACGCAAAGAGTTCAAATAGATAACCAGGTTCTCTTTCAATTACGTTTATTTAAATAATCTACTGCAGTATCTTCTCTCTGTTTTATTTATTTATTTATTTATTTTTGTATGATCGTCGAAAATATCGATATCTCTAACTTTTTTAAAAACTGATGTGTCCGGGGAGGGTTTTCCTCTCGTATTTCCTATTGTTCAGGTCATATGGAATTCGTGACAGTTGATTCGTGACCTGTCGGTCTCACATTACCGATATATCATAAACACATACATATATATCTTGGACCGAAATTTTTCCTCGCAATTTTTCGTACTTCTTCTTCTTTTGCAAACCGTCTCGATGCGTTTCCTCTCTTTTCACGTCAGAATGTGTCATTAGCCCGCTTCGCTCACATCAACCGATTACACACTCCTGTCAATCGGAATTAAATGCACAAATGCGACCATCGGTCTTTCGAATATAATATCTCGCGTAGTATCTTGAAGCCGAGGATAATGGCCTCCCTTTCCGGATGTGTCGCGACACTTCTTCTTCGATGCTGTCAAGTATGGCGCTGTCAAACGCGCGAGAAGCGATATCTCTCTCTTTCTCTCTCTCTCTCTTTCTCCTCTCCCTCCTCTCTTCTTCGACGAATCTCTTTCTCGCGCGGATACTACGCGCGTTCAATTTCACCCAGCGATCATACGCGGAGCGCCGCGTGTATTTGGCCGTGTACAACTGGATGCACGGTGCACGTTGGACTCCCCGCCGAACCGTGGACCAGCCGCGGACGCCGTGCCAGCAGCAGCAGCCGCCGATCCTGCCGCCCTCGTCGTCGTCGTCGCCGCCGCCGCCGCCGCCGCTGTTCCTTCTCGCACCTTCGCGCATCTCCCGCCTCAACGTCGTTCCTCTCTCTCTGTTGCTCCACAAGTTCGGCTTAATATAATACACTTTCATGCGGACACGCGTGAATCTATCCGGTGCCATTATCACAGCCGTCTCTCCTCATTGATGCGACTCTTTCTCTCTGTGTGCCTGTGGTCTTCTTCTCGTGTTTTTTTTTTTTTTTTGGTCCTTGCGTGCTTAGTTAGTTCTTTCGTAATTCGCTATTTGCTCCTTCGAGATCTTTATCATAAAACGGAGTGGCTTACTTTCTCGCTCTCTTCTCGGGAAGTCTATATATCGACATCCTTTTTACTCTTATTCTTCTCTCAGCTACGGTGGTGTGTATGTGTACCCCCGGACACGGTCGCTAGTTCTCATCTATGTACCGCGATGGAGAGTAACTATGTACCGAGATAACGCCTACCGCGTTTCATTGGTGCAGCATCCAGGCTCCGCGACCACGCCCACGTGATGTGCGCGTGGGGATATATCCCCTCCCCTCGACCGTAGATTGAGGTAAGGGAGAAAACGGGGGGCTTCTTCTCTTTTCCTCTTCTCGTCTCTCTTCTTGTTCATCGGTGTTCAGCCGTTCTCGGTTTTAATCGTGCTGCGCAGGCTTTTGATGTTACAAGGTTGACGCTTTACGCGCGCCGGAACATCGTCGTTCGCGTATCTTCTTCACAACGAAAACAACGAGCGTAAATGTTAAGTCTAATAGCACAAATTTTTTTTTACCGCTCTCCCACGCAGTAAAGCCAAGTTAAACATTGTCAAATTGCGAATATTGTCGCAATGTTACTTGCTTTACTTATATAGCGTCGTTTTGTGCCGAAATAGGACTTTTTAACTAATACTGATAATAAATTTTTGAATTTAATTAATTTCTACTTTCACTGCATTTAAAAAAAAGAAAGATTTTTTTTTCATGAACATAACGTTTGCTTTCGGGTTTTCTTAAATGTTACGTAGCGCAGTAAGTAGTGTATTTCTATTGTAAAAACTTGGAATTAACCCAATTGCATCACAAAGAAAAGTCAAAAATTCGTTCTTATCACCAAAATTAAAAAAAAACTAAATAAATAAATAAATAATAGGGTATAAATAATATGCGCTTTGGTGATAAATGCCTAAGTAAAATGCGCGCATATATGCGCTCTGGTTATAGTGGCCAGGCAAAATGCGCACATATATGCGCTTATGATGCAAATGGGTTAAAGAAGAAATAGTCCTGTTATATTTTTTTCTTATCAGTTATTTGATTTAAGAAATTTGTACAAATTATTAAATAGTTATTTGTTCGAAATTTTGCTATTAACTTGTTTTGTGCACGAAAAATAATATTTTCTTATTTTTTATCTTGCAACAATTTCTTGATTATAGCAGAGAGAAGAACGAGAGCGATCACGGCCGTGAGAGAATGTGTATCGCTTTTCGACATGGTTCTATTCCGTGCTATATTTGTGGATATGGTTCTATTCCGTGCTATTCCGTGCTGTGAGAATCATCGACGTGGTGAGGATACGCACACAAGCAAGAACCGCCCCTTCGTACATTAACATAAAGCTCGTTCTACATTGATCGCAAGCGCAAGCGCAAGAAATAGATCTCGTGGAATTGACCAATCACGCTGATCAATTGGCTGATTTGATCAATACGATTCGTCAATTCTACCAGACCTGTTCCTTGCGTTTGCGCGTAGAATCAATGTAGAACAGGCTTTAGAGGGTCCTGGATACCGACTATAGAGACCTGTAAATCGACGTTTTAATATTTCGTTTTGTGCCGTGTTTACTGCATCAAATCCAAAATGCTTCTACAGAAATAAGTAAATTATGCTAAGAGTTTGCTGTTGTTCTTTGGAATATCAAAATTCAGCATAAATTTTTTCTTATACAGTTTTCTTCTATAACCTCACCATATATTCATGTATATAAAATTATTTCTAAGCTTATGTACGTATTTACACTGAACTACAGCAATACGTACGACACAAAACAATCTAATGAAACACTCAGAATATGATTTGGTTGTCTAATTGATGCACAAAAAGTAATATTGTGATGATGTGTATTTGATACCATATACTATCATTATGAATAAAAAACAAGTTCAAAAAAGCATTATATAACCATTTTCAAAAGCTTTATATAGTTTTGTATATTTATTTGCTTCTGTAGAAGCGCTTTTAATGTTGTGCAGTAAATAAAATTAAAAAATAAAGAAATTTAGGTTATAAAAACGTCGGTTTACAGGTCTCTATTCAGTTTACAAGCCAGGCTCCAGTATCTTCTTGTGTGCGTAACTTCACCACGTCGGTATTCTCACAGCACGGAATAGAACCATGTCCACGAAAAGCGATTACACATCTTCTTTTATGGCCGTGACCGCTCTCATTCTTCTCTCTCACTATATACTGACTTTAGAAAATCTTTTTTTTCTTTTGTCTTTTTATGTCAGTTTTTTTACATTATAGGTGAGGCCACCACCGAATATTCTACCTTTTTGTACCTTGATACAATAAAATCGTTTCCACACTTTCAGCTATCTACCTTTGGAGAAAATTTAAGTAATCTGCACCTAGTCACGTACAGGAGGTTTCCTCAAAAAAAAAACATTTGTCAAAGTGTGAAATACAATTCATCACAATGAATTAAAAATATTCGATACAACAAACTTGGATTTTTGAAACAATTGAGACTTAAGGGTCGTTGAAATTGTCAACGAGAAATATATAAGGCCTTACGAGCCATTCGCAGAATGTTTGTGCGGAAACTGTGCGTGTACATATATATATATATATACATGTAACGAATTCTACTTGTAAATTTTTACAAGTGGGTGTTTTTTGAATTGAAATCACAATTCTTAAATTCAGGGGAGAGGTATCCGGCGTCTTTCAAATGTGAGATGCAATCCAACATCCCGTATGAATTTAAGAATTGAGATTTCAATTAAAAAAACACTAACTTGTAAAACTTTACAAGTAGAATTCGTTACATGTGTATATATATATATATTTCCCACAAACATCCTGCGAATGGCTCGTAAAGATATATTTCTCATATATTTCTTCTGGATTTTTGAATTTGGGATCTTTTCACAATGTTAAATTTTATCAATTCTTTTAATATAATGTCTTCTTAATCTGCTAAAGTTACTTGTTTTTACAATATATACGCGTGAACTCTTTATAATCTGATATAAATTGTTTTTTCTATATATAACAAAAAATAGATCTAAAAGCTATGTCTT